GTGGTACCAGGATTGCCCCCGCAGCATCAGGGCTCTCCTGGCTTGGGGACTGCCCTGCAGGAGCTACCCACAAGATGTCCAGCTTTTCTAGGTTTTCTCCCCAGAATGCCTCCAGCTTTGTGCCATGAAGCATCGAGCTATGTTGCTTGCATAAAAAGGAAAGCACTCACCTTGTTTTAAAATAAAGGTGGTCAAATTAAAAACAATTGCTCAAGGTGGTCCATGCAGTCTCATTGGTGCGATTAGACTAGATATTAGGAAAAATTTCTGCACTGAGAGAGTGGTCAAGCATTGGAACAGGCTGCCCAGGGAGGAGGTGGAGTCACCATCACTGGAAGTGTTCAAAAAATGTGTAGACGTGGCACCTCAGGACACGGTGGTGTTGGGTTGATGGTTGGACTTGATGATCTTCAAGGTCTTTTCCAACCTTAATGATTCTGTGGTTAAATTCCACCTGCACAATGTAACCGTTAATGCCTTCCCTGTTTATATTAGAGCAGATAAAAAGGCTTATACACAGCGAAAGGTTGAAAATGCTTGCTGATTCAGCACATATTTGAAATTCTTTTCTACGCAGAGTGTACACAACTTGGCTTTAAAATATCATCATTAGCTTTACAATCTAATTGTGCTAATTAGATTTATTAATAGGTTTCATTGCCGGTAACAGTTCTGTTATTTAACTGAATGATAAATATAAACATTTTTGGCAGAAATAGTGTCTGTGTGGGCTCAAATCGCATCTTAAAACAAAAACATTGTCATGAAAGAAATTAAGTGCAAGCCGTGAATGTCACCCAGATGTACAGTGTGTACACATTTGGTATCCCGTCTAGAGGTCAATATGGAACAAGAGTCCCCCAATGTTCTCTCTTCCGTTTCGTTCCTGACTTGCCAAGGCCCCGACATAGGACAGCCAACAAGGCACCTGCTTACCTTACTGACTGGAAATGAGCTTAAGCGCGCACTCAACCTCTAATCCAGATTTTAAAGACAAAACTCCCAGGGCATTTTTATACGCGTCTCTGCACAGAATGTAAAACTCCAGTGACCGCGGCACGCTGCGGATGCCCACAGGTACCCCATAAATAAATCACTTCTTCGAGTTACGGGCATCCTCACGGCAGAACCACCTAACACATCTCACCTGGCAGAGCTGAAAATACAGCTGAACCGGAGAGACCTTCCTGAGGTCCACCTTACGCAAATACTTCTCCAAAAACTAATGCAAAGCAACATTTAAGGCTCGAAATTAACACCCCAATTCTTGCTACAAAAGGAAGCTCTGCCAGGTTTTTATTTTCAAATAATTAAATAATAACAATGATAATTTTGGTAATTCCAATTGTAAAATGGGTTTCCTTCAGCAGTTTTTAAATTAAGAGTCAGCAAGGAGTTGGATGGGGAGAAAACCCCACAGATAAACAGACACAAAAATGGGGGGAATGCACATCCAACGGTAGATTTTGTTTAAAAGAAAAGAAATAAAAGAAACCTCCATCGCTGCCTTCCCCCTCCAGAAAGGGGGAAAACAAAACCAAACCTAGAGCTCAAAATGCGCCAGGGATCCCCCGGATCGATGCCAGGGTTTCCTGAAGAAATCCAAGCCCCTGCCTCCCTCTGCTGGAGGACGGCCTGGAGCTAAGCACCCGCGCTTCCCGCTGCAGCTGAAGGGTTTTCCCACTCACAAGACATTTGCGATTTGGAGGGGGTTTATCAGGTTTTTTGCACCAGCGTAGCCTTCTAGTCACCCAGCATCAGACTAGAAAAATGTGGCATTTCCTTTAATATGAATAAACCACTGGCAACATTTTTCATTTTACACAAACAAAAAAAAAATCCCATTTTTATAACTTGTTCCTTTTACCTACACATATCAACTTCAAATTTATCCCATATTTCAACAAGCAGTGTTTATCTGCCCTAAATCTGATTCACAGTGCTTCCTTCTACTAATTGCAAGTTAGGGCTCCCTGTATCAATATGCAAGCTGGGTGTCCTGGTTTCAACTGGGAGAGTTAATTTTCTTCACAGAAGCTAGCATTAGGCCATGTTTTGGTTTTGGGATGAGAAAGCGTTGATAACATGCTGATGTTTTGAGTTGCTGCTGAGCAGCCAAGGACAGTCCATCTCCTCACGCTGGCCTGCCAGCGAGCAGGCTGGGGGTGCACGGGGAGCTGGGAGGGGACACAGCCAGGACAGCTGACCCAGGCTGGCCAAAGGGATATTCCATACCGTATGGCATCATGCCCAATGTATAAAGCTGGGGGGAAGAAGGAAAGGGGGACGTTCGGAGTGATTTCCGCTACCACTGCAATTCTTTTCCTCATATCTTCTATTAACTTACCTTGACTATACAGGAGACAGACATTTGAAGAAGTATTAGATTTAGCCTTTCTTAGCTCAACAGAATTAGCCTTGGTATGCAGACCTTCAGTGTAATCCCAGCTGTCGCTTCAATCTTTAAAGAAGAAAATACTTCAGTGTTCAGAGCAGGGACATGATTCTTTCTTCTTTTTTAAAAATCACTTCAATGCATTCACAACTTGCAAGCACGTACCTTGACTTTTAATAGTAAAATTTAGGGATCAGTAGTCAGAGCACTCCCCAACCACCCTGCCCGCTCTCATTATCAGTTATCTCTCCTAACTACAATCACTTCCCAACATTTAACCACCACAGAAGTTCACTATGAATTATTCTGGCAGAACGATGCAAGCTGAGCATTCATTTTGCCTACTTGATAATCAGTCTGGTGTCTCTTCCTCAAGCATTTCTCTCATCGGTGCAATATGCAGCTTGAAAGCCTATGGAATGCAACTAGTGCTTTTTTTTGTTATTTCCTTACTGTGTTTTGCAAATAAAAACTGGAGTTAAAAGGCACCAAGTGTAGAAGCCATTTAAATTAAACCTAGTCTTCACTCTTGAGTTTGAACACCTGACACTGCTTATGCTTTACAAGTTTTTCCTGCACAATATGCACTTCAGATGTACTTTGAAAGATACCATGATCTCACTTAGAATATTTTCAAATTTTATTTGCAACTACCGCAACTACAAAGACTATAACAATGTAAATTTGCATTTAAAGTGACAACCCTTTCTAATAAACAAGGTCAGAAATTAGTGTGCACCTGTTCTGGCTTTGGGCAATTTTCATAGGATGGAAATTTTCCTGCATGACAATTTGTCACGTTTTACAGCACTGCATTTTCATAGTTCCATACATAGGAACAGAAATACATCTGTTCCTACTTGCAGAACACGCCAATGTGTTTCTGTAATACAGAAATACAACTTCTAATTAATCACTTTCATTTGTTTTATTGAGAGGAAGAAAAGGAAGAATCCATCTATAGCTTTTCTCAGGTCTCTCTCCTCCCTGAATTTGTTCTCTAGACTTGTATGTTTTTTTAAAAACAGGAGTAGGGATAGAATCACTGTCTTGTTTACACCCCTGCAGGAAACTGAGGTAAAAAAAAATTCAAAGAGATGCACACTATTACAAATGCAAACAGCCATCAAATTGTCCAGTTTATTGATGGGAATTCAAAATTGATACAAAACATGCCCTCTTTGCATGTTGTATTTTACCCTTAAAATGTTTCCAACAGTGTCAGGTAAATTCAGAGTTAAGAATATACTTCGGCTTTCAGCATGTACCTTTATAAAGGTATTACACAAAAGCCACTAACTTACACAACACGTGGTCCCAAAATCGCTTTCAGAGATTTCGTTTATCAAAAGACTCAGATCTTCTGCTGATCTGATGAAATAAAGGCTTAAAAATGTTTTAAGCCATTAATAAGTATCCTATGGTAGAGTCAAGAAAGTTTATGATTTCCATTATAATCTTGGGCATACAAAAGCAACAGTCCTAAAAAAGCAGCCCTCCGGAATACATGGAAAGTGGCAATTGGTATGATGCCAATTTATAATGACCAAGTTAAGTAAAACAGATTTTTAAAGCTATGAATGATGTGAGCAGTATCACGGCAAAATATTTAATGAATCCCACAGAACCAATCAAGTTTGAAAGCTGAGCAGATGTTGGTGCAATCAACAGAGATTTGTAACATCAAATATACCAAAACGTTTTCTAAAATAAATTCCTAATGCAGAAAAATTGATTTAAAGTTTGCTCCTAGCTAATAGTACCTTTTATTTAAATTGGACCCTAAACTGATCAGACAATACATAGCCCACACTTTCAGACATTTATAATAAAAAAGCTTTTATTTTCAGTTGAAACAAATGCACCATCCTGCACTTGAAGGCTATAATGAGCCATAAGCATATTCCAAGGTGTATCAATGGCAACAGATTTGTTTCACCTCCACTGAGAAGTTACATAATGCACTCTTAATTGGTAAAGAAAAATTAAACTCAGCCTTCTCAAAGCTTCCGTACTGTGTTTCTTGGTTATTGTACAGTTCCACAGACAGACCAAGAGTTTGCAGTGTGTGCAAATATTCTAGTCAATCAATAGCACTGTTTAATCATCATCTTCCTCCTCTTCCTCTTCCTCCTCAAAACTGTCTTCAAAGCCCTCACTGTCTTCCTGGTCCTCATCACCTTCTATTGCTGTATCCCATTGTGGATGATTTTCCGGCACTGGTTTTGCTTCATGAACTTCCAGCTGTAATTGGATAAAGAAAAACAAAGAAAAGGGGGAGAAAAAAAGGGTTACAGACAATACACACCAATTTGTGTATACACACCAAAACAAATGACACACCACACAAAATTCATACTTTAAAAAACAAACAATAACCAAAAAAAAAGATCCACCACATAAATCCCAAAACAAAACCATCAACTGCTTCCAGAAATAAGGCATGCCAGATTTTTCTCATTAACTAGATGTGTCTAAGACTAAGGGCAGGAAAATGGCATGGCAAACCTCAAGGTGTAGAGCCAGAGCCAACCATACTGCAGAAATTGAGTAAGTGAGAGAAAACATATTTTAAAATACACAGGCACTAGAAAGCATCACAAACTTTAGTTCCATTTAATCTATCATAAAATTGCCTCTACTGGCATCAGGAAGAAACCACCTGTAAGTCACTGGTTTAAAAGTAGGACAGCTTGAATTCTTAAAGATAACAGGACTTTGGGAGTTTTCATAGCCATATGAAGTAGCTTTCAATAGAATACAAATATTTAACACAATTAAACATCACCTTCAATGGTTTAATCTGGTCCAATCCCATATATGAATCCGATCTTAAATAAACCGTGTACTGATAGTTTCCAGGCTTGCCTGGTGCTGGGAACTTCAGTTCCACCTACAAAACAGAATTCATGCCACGAGTTCTTACTGCTTTTGAGTGACACATTAGAACAAACACCTGAGTATGCTAATGAGTCATAAATAGTATTAAAGACTTTTTTTTCCACTTAAAAAAGTTTCCATTTCTTAGAAGTGACACTTCTTTGAAAATCTCTACATAATAAAATACCTGCAGAAGAGAGACAGAATACCTGAGCACAATATCTTCCATGAAAGATGAATAGTCAAGTCACATTTTCTGAATTAGACCAAGTAACTCTACATTAAATACACGATTTCACCCTGCGGCATGCTTCCTAAATCTCAAAAACCAAAACAGGTTAAAACATCTAGTCTCCTGAAAGTATTAGCTTAACTCTACTGTTACTCGAAATTGGACACAAAATCTAGCTTGAAATAACAAAATACATCAAATCTCCCTTTTTCAGAAAAGCAAAGAACACAGCCAAAGGTTACAGTCTCAGAAATGTTCATATGAGCCGAGGCTAATTAATTTGTCACAGCCTCTGCTCTACAGAAAAAGAACACTCAGTATTTCTCACACATTTGAATAACTTTCTTTAAGAATGATCATTGTGTATGAATACTGGTTTTCATCAGCTTTTGATATCAGGGGAAAAAAAAACATATTCTGCAAAGAAACTTGAAAGCCTTCTTAAATTATTTTTTCCTTCTCCATCATCAATTTTCACAGTTAGAAGGCTCCTCTCTACTTTTATCAGGAGAGTAAAATTTGTTTTCCCTCGTGAGATAAGTATGAAAAAATTAAAATCTAAATGTATGTGCATACCGTAAGACACTTCAGTACAGTTCTGTAACACCCCAAAAGAAAATTCTTCCAAGTACTTTACCTCTTCTTTATCTTTTAGTGTACAAACGTGATATGGCATACATATTAGCATCTGCTCCTTCCGATCTGCAATATATAGCCACCACCATTCTTGTTTTTCCTTTCATAAAAGAAAAAAAACACACCAACAGGATTATTGAAGGCATATAAAATGATGCCCCTACACTTTATAACAGGTAATTATGGTTCACTAGTCCTTATAATACAGATAGAAACAAGGTGGTTTGTTTGGTGTGGTTTTCTTGTTTGGTTGGTTTTTTTAACTCTTGGATGTGTACAAATAAAATACATGGTGCATATATATACACACAGTATATATACTGCATTCTGAAAGCAAACAGATTATCACAAGTATCTGTTGGTCTCCAAAGGCTTCATTCTGTATATTCACCCGAAGCTACCATGTGAGACACAGAACCATTCTGAAGAATTGTGTCCACTGAGGACTAACCAGCAACTTCATGCAATACAATACTACCTTAGGTCCTTCAACAGAAATCCAGCCTGGATAAAAAGGCCAGCATATAAAGCAAGGCATGCCAAGAGGCAGATATAGTACTCTTTCCAGTAAACAATTTTTTTCAGGAAAGTATGCATTGCCCCTCTTCTCTTGCCCTCCAGAAAATGGGAATGTGATGAAAATTAGAATTTGAACATACAAAGATTTTACTTAAAGGAAGCATGAACCACAGCCAATATTGATATGTCTAAAGGAAATATCAACACCCAACAACTGCTGCCTATCACACACAGCTTTCAAAACACCTACAGGTCTCAAAGGTCTTGCCACTGCAGGCACTAAAGCAGAGTCCCTAAACTAAATGAAGTTAAATGAGTGCAGTCCTTCATAAAAAGGCAGCAATGCTATAAAAAAAAAAAAATAATAGTTTATCCCTCAGTTGGAGTCAGGTTTTTAAGAGTGCGGTACAGTTCAGCAGCAGACAACCACTCTCAAATGGGAAAGACTATAGTTCTTCAGCGTCAACTGTCCATTGTTTAACCACCATTCCTTTTCGGTTAACCCTCTGGCACACATTTTAAGCTACATCCACTTTGTTTTAACAGAAGCCAAAACCTTTCTATTCCAAAGAAGTTAGTTTAGCACTGGCAAAGCAAGTTTCTGTTACTTTACCTCCTTAAGTCTTTTCTTAAGAAAGTGAGAAGGGGGCAGGGGGAAGAAGGGAAGTCTTCTTCGTGTTTATGAAGAAGTCTCTTAATAGATAGGTAAAAGTTGTAACACCATAATCTTACCCCTAGGGGAAAAAGGGGAAAAAACCCACACCTTTTAAACAACCGAAGTGTTAGACTGCTGAACTGTGTTCCAAAACTATTTTTACCCACCCCAGTGGTCTGGTAACTGATCACATTTGTAACAGACTGGAGCCCTAAACAGTGCATCTTACAACAGTTACAAGTCAAGCTCCAAAACTTGAGGCCAATTTTTATGTATTTACACCAACAACAATCAGGTAGTTGCTTCAGTGCCACATGGAAATGGTTGTTTTGTTTCTTTTTTAATCTAACAATATTAGAAGGACTGAATGAAAGGATACAGTTGACCTTAACACTACCACTGAGACCCTTCCAAATTCCACAGGTGGGAAGCAAATGCTGTTAATATGTAGCATTTGAAGAATCTTTATCTCTACTGAAAGAGTCAAAAGTTCAGTAGTTTTAGTGTGTTGTTGTTTTTGTTTTTTTAAACACTTCAGAAGCCAATATTTGGTGATCTGAAATTTAATTAATGCAGGTTTAAAAGTTACAAAAGCTAAATTAACTCCTTTTCTCTTCTGAAGTGACTAATTGTTATGCTAGTAATAATTGTCACCATCTCACTGAAATATTCAACTAACAAACTACAGATTTACAACAGCAAGGCACTCACACCAGCAACCAAAACGCCCTGATTAGTGCTGTTGAGTCCCAGAGCAAAGGAATGTAGAATTAACTCAAAATATTAATGCCCATTTTACAGTGTGTAAAAGCGAAAACAAATGCATCACAGTAAAGCAACAGCATTCCTTTGTGTTGTCCTGGTTTCAGCTGGGATAGAGTCAATTTTCGTCATAGAAGCCAGTATAAGGCTGTGTTTTGGATTTGGGATGAGAAAGCGTTGATAACGTGCTGATGTTTTGAGTTGCTGCTGAGCATCCAAGGACAGTCCATCTCCTCACGCTGGCCTGCCAGCGAGCAGGCTGGGGGTGCACGGGGAGCTGGGAGGGAACACAGCCAGGACAGCTGACCCAGGCTGGCCAAAGGGGTATTCCATACCATATAACGTCATGCTCCGTATATAAAGTTGGGACGAAGAAGGAGGAAGGGGTGGAGGGACAATTGGAGTGATGGCGTCTGTCTTCCCAAGTAACCATTACGCGTGATGCAGCCCTGCTTCCCTGGAGATGGCTGAACCCCTGCCTGCCCGTGGGCAGTGGTGAATGGATTCCTTGTTTTGCTTTGCTTGTGTGTGCGGATTTTGCTTTCCCTATTGAACCGTCTTGATCTCAACCCATGAGTTTTCTCACTTTTACCCTTCCGATTCTCTCCCCTGTCCCACTGTAGGGGAGCGAGCAAGCGGCTGCGTGTGGCTTGGTTGCCGGCTGGGGCTAAACCACGACACACATATTTAGAACAGGCACTGAGAACAGAACAAAAATCTATTCATCCACTATTTAAGACCAGAATTTGTAGAATTGTAAGAATTCCTTTTTACAACTATTCCAAGTGATTTTTTGTACGAAAAACCATCCCATGTGATTACAAGGCATAAGTTATTTTATCTGTAAGTTTCAACAATAAATATATTGTCAATCTGTTTGACAGCTGTAAGATAGAATCATCTTATGCAGTCAAAGTGTTTAATTTCTAGCCAAGGGGCCTCTAGGAATAGAAGGATAAACAGTATAAAAAGTACAGATGAACAAAAACTACAGAAGCTAGATCCATTACAGAATTGGCTACTCGTCATTTTGGGCCTATAAGGACTCTGACCATAGAAAAAAAAGGATCTGCATTTGTATCAATACATTATTTTTTATGTTACCAAAACACTGTGCTGACTTACTACACATTGTGCATGTTTCCATCACTCTCAATGGCAAGGAATGTATTTTTTCTTTTAGAATAAAGATCAAAACTGTCAACTGGATTTTCACAAAAACTGGTAAAAATAACAGCCAAGGGGGGAGAAAAAAAATACCAGAACAAGTGACTTTCATTGGTTTAATGCTCAAAGGAATCTATAGGAGTAAACTCTTTGGAAGTAAAGCTCCTGACCCCAAAGTGCCACTGCTTTTTTATACAAAGGACAACTGTGCAGGAGTGTCATTTTCCTCCCTCTTATTGGGTGGAATTTAAAGTTTATGCCTGTGAGAATCTGGCAAGCTAACTGGCAAAATGCCCTTTAACAGATGGGTGCAAGGCTTGGCATGCCAGAGAACCAGTATGTTCATGAAATTGGAACACTAGGGCCAGTTTCTACCTAAAAATGTCAAAACTACAATCTGTGCAGTTTCTGGATCCACAAGTGCAGGAGCAGAAGATAATTATGTAGGAACCTGCATAGATTAACGATGCCTCTCTGGCAGAGTAATCAACTGCCCCAAAACTTAGATGAAACAGTGTTAAGGCTACCTCCTGAGAACGAGTATATTGGGCTCAGTTACACTCAAACATCTGTAAATTCTGGAAATAGAGATTCACGCAACTACAGCATTTCATCCTTAACTCTGCATCTACGAACTGGCCATGACCATAATACACTCAATACTCTAAATCACAGATAAAAAACACTCAGAGAGTACGATGGATTTTGTTCTTCAGACATTGCAAATCAACTCTATCTGAACATGCTCCAACTGCAGCTACAGCACTAAGTGCAGCTGCATTCAAACTTTCAGGAAATCAGTGATGAGAGGCTGGAAAATTTACAACTGCGGTACCATGACATAATACACATGCATCTTTCAAGTTCAAGCATTCAATTCAGCCCTGGATTATTTTTTTAGTATAGTACTGTATTTAGGTTTTATCATAAAACCCATCCGCAGTTTGGTTATACACAGGTGAAGCTTAAGCAGCTTTGTACAGAGTAAGCATAAGCGAAGTCTCTGAAGGAACCTTCAGTGCAGTAAAAAAGAAATAAGAATAGTCAGTGCCTCTGTGGCACTGGGCATAGCACATACTCACTGTTTGAGCTTAGACTGATGACCAAAGCCAGCTGCCTTGGCAGCAAGGACATATTAAGACTCTGCTGCATATTTGACATGATCTAAGGCAGCCAGAAGAGCAGAATGCCACTACACCTTTTTCTATTATGCTGAGGTACTGCTGGAAGCTGTATTGAGAGACGGGAGGGTACCTAACAGTGTCAGGAAAATAGAGCGTTAAGATCAGCCACTACAAAACTAGATGTCATGAGGCCGCACAACTCTCAGCTAAAGCCTTCAGGAAAACAATTTCTTTGGTTTATTTGTTTATCTTGTCTGGCTCCTTAGCAACAGGTCTTGCCTCCCACACTTTGTTGTCTAATGATGGCAATATTAGGTAAAAACAGCAGGAACAGTATGATTACAAGCATGGGGACAACAGAGTATGTTTTGCACACGCAACAAGCTGTACAAGGCCTTGGGGACTGAAAAGATGGAGCAAATATACACAGTGACTTTCTTTTTTCTCATGTTTTTCTGTTCTTCCCCATCTCAGTTGTCTCCTTTAAACCACAAGAAGAATAAGCCTTGCATCCCACCTCCCTGTTATTGGAGATAGCACAATGAGAGAGAAGAGATCCTAGATTAGTTCCCTAGTCAGACAGCAGGGAAGCAAAGGAAACCTTCTGAAACCACTGGTCTGGAAAGAAAGTGTGGCCAAATACTCCTTCCTCCTGGTTCCAATCTGGTTGCCTCCCAGAGACCTAACTTAGAACACAAAACCCGCACTTTGAAAAAATCCCATCTTTTTCAAGGTTTCATTGCTGTAATGGGTTTTCAGACACCTACTGAGTGGTTAGCTGTTTGTGTAAGTAACAACCGATGTATCGGAACATGCTTTCAACACCAAAGGCTGCTGCAGAGACACCCCAGTCTGTCGACTATACTGAGTAACCGCTCTCAAATACATGCCCTTCTCTGATATTCATCCACACCTGATCTCGTATTTTTGAGCTCTGCAGGAAAGATTGTTCCGCAATTGGCTTCTGTCACTTCCAGACTACACTGTGGTAGAAAGAAACAGCTTTGCCAACCCTCTCCACCTTCCACAGCTGCACGCTGTGTTGCCACCATGCTGCTGCGTTCAGTCTTGAAGTCAAGCAGCAAGCCAAAACAATCTGATGATTCAAATGACCCCCAAACTCTCCTGTCATTACTGTTAACACAGGAGGGGTCAGGACCTCTGCTGCTCACAGGTGCTTGCAGTTAGATAAAGAGCAAGCAATACTCTACCTTTAACTCTAGATTAGAGCCAGTGCTGTGCTTTCACCTTCCAGAGAAAAAAAAAAAAGAGAGAAGAAAAGGACTATAAATTAGATCCCTATATATATGAAATGTTGCATTCTGAATCTATATGTAGCA